AAAATTAAGAATTATCGATTGTGATTATTTTATTTCTTTTAGGTACTCGATAACCACTTTTGGACTAATATTTCAGAAGTTATTAACAGTTTTACAACTCGGTGATAGGAGAAGTACTGCCGGGGAACGATTAGATATACAATTAAAGACAATCACGAATAGCTTCCAAAATACTGTATCATAATTTGTTATCGACCAGTCATTTTTTAAATTAGATCAATATCTATTAAATAAGCTAGTTATTTATGTATGTTATCGTTTGAAAATATTAACTTCATACCCTTATAAGATATAAGGGATGAGCGTAAAAAATACTTTGTGGTTGAAAAATTGAGAAAAATGTGTAAATAAAACTAAAATGATTTTTAATACTTTTTTTACTCGTCGATTAATTAAGTGGTAAATGAATCACTCTGTATATTGGAAGTTATGGTGTCGGTGTTTTTTCTTACAGTTAGGTCATGTGTAAAATGGCGCGAAAATGAATTTAACATTAATAGTTAGTTAACAAACCGAAACAAATTCGAATAATTATATTTCTATGGTGGAAAAATTACACGGGTAATATTGTAAAATTATGTGAAGATGTTCTGTAGAATCGTGTCTTCATTGTTAGCATATTGGTACATACATGTGGTCATATACTTTGGATGTACGTATAAAAATACATTGTGTTTTAATGCTGGAAGGAGAAGTAAGGTGCATGCACGTGGGGTTCGATCAACTTTCTAGTAGCATGCAGTGCAGAGTAACATGTGATATAATACATCAGCCGACTAAGTATCTATTGCGGTCAAGGTCGTTGACAGCATAATAATTACGCTGAAAAAAAAGGAGTAAAAAAAATAATTATTGTGATTTTTTTTTCTTTTTACGTGAGCAATTGTAACGTATTCTTTAAATTTTGAGTGTAATATTAGAAAATATATTTGCTTACAGGGTAGTAGTACTTTCCAAAAGTTGAAAAGGATTTTATTCTTAAAATATATTTATCAGGATAAAACTGTTGAGTATGAAAACAAATTATTATTTTAATTGCGTTCAAAGTTTTTTAAGTTTAAAAACAAAAATAAGGAATACGTGCATCAATAAAGACTGAATTACATTAAAATTTCGTTGAAAAGGTTCTTCTATAATAAATATTACGATCTATTCATTTAGTGCCGAAGTTTAAAGATATATCAATTTTTTTTTATTGTTTTGTTTGTGATACAGTTGTTGGATTATGTTGCATAACAAGATTTTAAAAGGTAAAAAAATAGGGAAAAACAAAACATGTTAAGAAATGTCATGCATGAGGAGAATTTTTTAAATTAAAATGATAATTTTTATTTAGGTTAAAAAAAATGGCATAGGCTAAGTTCTTTGTCTAGGTAACTGTCAATTCATTTAAAGTAGATTTTAACGTTTCTATGAAAACAAAACAAAATTGAGATTGAGCACAAAGATAAAATTAAACTATACTGATAATTTTTAAAAAATATCACGAATGGAAATAGTGATAAAGATTTTAAAATATTTGAATTTTGTTTAAAGCTTATAAAAATAAATAGTTTTATAAGTTTTTAAGAGATTCTATAATGAAAACGAAATGTATCAGTTAAATTTCATATTAACTTAAAAATGTAAAAAGCAATTTATTAACTTAAAATTTAATTGCTTAAAAAACTGTATTTATCAAAATAGAAACATCGTATGATAGTGTTAAGTTTTTTCGTATATTTGCACAGGGTGAATTTCGTCATAAAGATATAAATAAAAATTGTCTTTTTATGAATTGATTATTTAATTTATTTTTTTCGAAGAGAGATTTTTTTCTTTGTAACTAATTAAATATTACTTTTTCGTATTAGATATTATGATATTACTTTTTTCATAGTATTATCATGCAAAAAGTAATAAATCTAACATATCATTAACAGTTAGATAGCAATAAATACTTAACCTTGGATGTTCCAGAAATCAGTACTTTCCATCTATTATGAAACCCAAGGTCTCATGATTTAAACGCTTTCAAAATAAATAGAATTTAATTCATTTTTAATGAAAGAAAAGTGAAGTTTGACGTAGGTGTTGATACGCAATTATTTTATTGTAGAATTTTCAAAATATATTTTGTCAACATTGTTTTTGATATTATCATCCGTAATAACTATTATCTTATTTCATTATATTATTTACGATACTTTACAGAAAAAATTTATCCAATGAATTTTTTTTGTAAATTACAAGCGGTCAACACTTGAACGAGGAAAAATGAGTGATTATTGCAAATATTGTGATGTAATCTCAGTTTAATGTTTTTATTAAAATATGACTCCACTTAATTCAAAATATTTTTTAAGAGTAAAATAGTTGATATTTCCGTGGTTAACTTTGTCAAATAAATTTTATTGAAAAATACCTTTAAAAAATTTGCCAAGGTTGACATACAAGAGCATATATACCGTTTTGAAATTATTGATTATTAAACCAACTATTCCTTAAAGCTCTCAAGGATATCCGAACACAGGTTCTGTTACATAAACAGCGTACTGCATTTATTCATATCAACATGTATCTTATTAATTCTATTATTATAAATAATGCAATTATTACGTCACTTCAAAAAAAAAAAAAAACCATTTAAATTAATAATAAGTTGAGATTTAAAGTATTGTTAATTTTTCAACTTAAAGTAAATTTATCAGATTTTATTGATTAAAGCTATAATCCGAAATAAAATGGTTCGTTAAACCAAAGATGGATCCCTAACGTAATTTATCCACGTTTCTTTCAAGAGAGATGCTGGAGTAAGTTCTAACACAATTATTATCTATGAAATATACATTTTACCAATTATTTTAGAACGAGCTATTTTTGATTTTCGAGTAAATAAGTCTTCTAGAGAGTATTTGAAGCGCTTTTGTGAAATCTGATGCTAGATTCACTCTACTGCTTAATTAATAGATTCTAGTATAATAAATATAAATAAATACATAATATCAAATTTGGTTTACGATATTTGAGTCAAGGTTACTAATGCACACTCCTTAAAAGGTAATTCGAATCTAAGTAATAAGAGCATAAATGCTGCTTTTGATTCATAGACAATTATAAATGCTGACATAAATTATCATTGTTAAATGTCAGAAGAAAAAATGTATACTTATTTTTTTATTATTATTATTAATTTTTTTTTAGCTTTTAAGAATAATTGATACTTAAATTTAGAACGTGATCTGCAAATTCGTTAACATGTAGATTTTATAAAGGATATGTCATACTTGAATATTAATTGTATTTACGAATTGGACTGAATAAAAACCAGACAAATTTTAATAAAGTATATTTATTATTAATTAATGTTGCATAATATTTGTTGAATTTACCAATGTCAAAGACGCGTGCGGTTTGTGGTTTATCGTGATCTGAATCCTACAAATGGAAGGTTCGAGGGCACTATCTAAATTACTTGATACGTTTTGATTTTATCTACGTCGAGAATTTGATATTTTTTAAGGCTATAAATTTTCGGTTGATCTTTTATCGTTTCCGGTTGTTACACTGAATTCATTTGTCAACTGGCAGTTTTTAGATGATTCTGTACGAAAGTGAACGTCATGTCCAAGGAAAGGTCGCATATTTTTTGTGTTCTAATAGATTCATGCTAAAAAGAGCAAATGCGTTGGGATTTCTCTCAAGGTTCCAATGCATATTATAAAATTGTATAACGCACATAACTTAAGTAACAAAATTATTTTATCAGTTAAAAAACAATTAATATTATGTCAGTTTGATTATTTCTATAAGAAGGTATTTGATTCGTTTATTATTTACTTTACATTACGTTGGTCACTCATCTGGAAACCAACAGCAAATATCGTAGCTGAACATCAGCGCTAAGGAAGCGACTAGATAAAACTCTGCGTCACACTACGACCAAATAATAATCATACTCTATTACAGTAGCTCTATAACTAATTTAAAAAATTGGTGAATGAACAATTTGGAACGTAAACTGATCTACATATATCTGTATTCTATAACGAAGAATTTGACCATGAACGTATTTAGACCTTTTAAAGAACTAATCTATTTTTTTTGTCTGACCTATGCGGAAGAAAAATGAAGCCATTGAATAGTATGTCACGAATGAACACTATTGCTTTTAATCTGGCCTTGATTGTTTGGTGAAAATTGGGGATTTTTAATGATTTGTCAGGAATCGTGCATTTTTTAAAGCCTTGAAATTAAAGTTCTAATATACTATAAGAGTTACAACAAGCTAAACATTAAAAATATATACATATAAAATGTTTGTAGAAGTTAAAAATTAATTTTGTTGTAAACAATTTAATTTAAATACATGATGCCAGCAAAGGCACAACTTGGGGGTTTCTAGAAAGTGCAAAAACCCTTTAATTTTGTCACAGGTCCCAAAAATTATGATAATTACGTGTAAATTTATGTAAAATATTTTAAAGGAGGCAGGTAATTAAATATGATCCTCAAACATTTTGTTCAAATAGCCCTTATGATGTCTAGTAGTTTTTATAAAAATATAATATTAATACAATAATACAACAGTACAATGTTAGAATACTTATAAATTGTGTTATAAGTGTGTGTAGAGTTAGAGTGAAAAACAAAACAATATATTAAACAAATACAAACTTGCAGTTTGAGTTGGATCGTATGTTAATCAGTTAATCGTCAAAATAATACTATATTAAATATTAGTTTTTTCAAACAAAAAAAATTAATTCTTATATAAAATTTGACTGACTTTATATTGAAGAAAATGTTTGTAATTACATGATCGACCTAACTTGACAAGGAATTTTATGTCACGAGTTGTAGAGTTTTCAGTAAATTAAACGTGGTTGGAACGCAGAATTATTTATTACATAAAATCACATCACGTATTCTTACTTAGAAATAAATCATCCTACATAACATAAATTTTATATATTAGAATGAAGAAAACTTTTTTTTAATGTATATTACTACTTTTACAGATATCTACAATGGGGTACAGTTCCAAGGATGAATGGTGTGGCACTGTTGTTAAGTATAGTATGTTCTTATCCAATTTTGTTATTTTTGTAAGTAAATCTTAAAAATTGAATTGTTTAAATTTGTTAATTTTATAATGTTTTTTGATATTATTTAGATTGGTGGTATTGTTTTGGTAGCCATTTCAGTTTATACGCTGTTTGACAAATCTTTTATAAAAGAACTTTTAGGCACCAATTTATTCACTGGAGCCGTATACATACTTATTGTTACTGGTGTACTATTATCGTTCCTATCATTTTTAGGATGCGCCGGTGCCGTCAAAGAAGTCAAATGTATGCTGTTGACGGTAAACTATAAGTTCAAATAGATATACGTGTGCATAAACAGTTCAATAAATAATTATTATTTTTTTTTATAGTATTTCATTATTCTATTCATAATTTTTGTCGTTATGTTGGTTGGAGGAATTTTATGTTATGTTTTCCGTCAAAGAGTGCAGACAACCATGCAGCAAGAAATGCTCAGGACTATTAGATCTTATGGCGAAGACCGAGCCATAACTAGGGCATGGGACGATCTTCAGGAAGGCGTTAGTCAAACCATTATGGATTATAGATTTATAAAATATTCAAAATTGAATTTTTTTATTTTAGCTTCATTGTTGTGGTGTTACGACTTATGATGACTGGAGGCAACACAGAATTGGCGGTATAATACCTGACAGTTGTTGTCGGGAGATCAACGGAAAGGTAACTGTATTTGTTTATATTAATATTATTAATTACAATTACTTAAAAAGATTATTTTATCATTACACTATTACTTCTTTTCTGTGAACTAGTAAACGTTTTTTTTTTTATAGAAACAACCGTGTAATTTGAGTTTTCAAGCGAGTCAACAAATTTACACATCAGGTTGCTTGAACGTTACGACGGCTTTCATGAAGGATCACGCAAATACTGTAGGAACAGTTGGTATAGCTGTATCACTAATTTTGGTAATTTATATATATACAAATTTGTATTTATTAGTTATTTTTGTTTTTGTAAAAACTCTGCCCGTTAGTGTCATTATAGCATAACAGCACAATTAACCGCGACTAAATTTAAAGTTTATGCCACATAAAGAATATTAATATCATAATAGCGTAGGAATAACATAAAATACTTAAAAAAAATAAACTGCTATCAAATAAAATAATTTCCTTAAGAATCTCAAATCCTCTTACACTATTTAAGATATGTAGTTTATTAATTAAACAAATTTCGATTGTAGTATTGAATTGTAACTTTTAAAATACCTGAATGTATAGGTTTGAAAATTTAATGATTACAAAGTTTAATTTGTTTAAGAAGTCTCAGACTATAGTCTAGTAAAAAATATTTCCTTTTTAAAAAAATTCATTATAATTTTGTTAAGCGCATTTGCATCTAAGCGTTTCATGATAATGATTACATCACTATCAGATTTCAATTTATACTGATTTTAAATTCATTTCATCCTAACTTAGCCGAGTCCTATTTATTATTGGTTATTAATTGAAAATTGATAACTAGTATTTTAGATCTAGATAGTAAATTTAATTTAGTGTAGAGCAGAGAATGAGTGTAGCAGAGATGATAATGCTTAGATGGATGAGTGGAGTGACTAGAGAAAATAGGATAAGGAACGAGCATATAAATGTAGATGTATAGCATATAGATGTAGCGTCAATCGTAAATAAGATGAGAGAAAATAGACTTAGATGGTTTGGTCATGTTATGAGAAGAGAAGAATCGGAAGCCGTAAGAAAAGTTGTAGAAATGAATGTTGAAGGAAGAAGAGGTAGAGGAAGACCAAAAAAGAGATGGAGAGATGTTTTTGAATGCTTTATGAGGACAGCTGATGTGAGCGTAGAGGATGTGGGAGATCGTGTCAAGTGGAAGTTTAGGATAAGGGTGGCCGACCTCCAGTAGTTGGGATTAAGGCTAGGAAGAAGAAGATGGTAAATTAAATTTAGTAAATGAATATTAATACAGCAAATAAATATAATTACATACTAATTCTTTTTATTTTTTGTTATAGCTTCTTGGATTAGCTTTTTCGTGTGCACTGTTCATGCTCATCGTTTAATAAACTTTGTGCTGCTAGCCATTCGAAGTATTAATATCGTCTAGTTCAAAATCTTCATAGTTCATATTTATTATTAAGACGTAAATCCTATTGCCTAATATGGCTATTTTTATCTATATATAAACATAAATCAGACTGTTTTATGTAATTAAGTCTTTTAACTATTCATAATTTATAATTAAATACTTAAAAATAATTATGCTATCAAAAAATATGTTAAGTATTGTACTAAGATTTATTAATTATAGAGGTGGAATTATTGGTATATGTTAGGAAAAATTGGTCTTGATTCTAATTTTTTGGGACTTCTAAAGATCGATATATCAAATAGAATTATTTTAAAATATTTTTCCAAAAAAAAATTTAGATGAAAAAACTTTATGCAATTATTATAAATATGCCAAAAAAATGTGAGGTCTCTTAAAAAATAACTATATAATATATTAATGAACTAAAATATTTTTGTAGAATTATATTAAATTATACGAACAATAAAAACAAAGGACTACGACATTAGCTTACTTGTTATGCTTTACTTAAATATAATTTATTAATTTTTGTACGATAAATTTTTCTTTACCTAATTGTAAACCCTTTTTTTTTTTATATTTGAAATAAATAGTGTCATGTATTTAACTATGTTTTTTACCTATTCATATGTAAGAATATTTCGTTATCTATAACTTATTTTATTTTATATATATTACATACAAAAATTTTTTTATTAACTTATTATAAATTCACAAATATTTTTCAGTTTATATCTATTAGTTTTAATAATTTTAAAGTATTTATTTATTGATATAATTGGATGATAAATATAGAACTGGTCATTAAGTTACCAAACTATTTTAAATGCCCAACTCTAATACTAAGTCATTAGTTAATAAAAGTAAGTTAAATGTACCCGTGTCATATTTAATTAATTTATTATTCAGTAAGAATTTAATATAGAATTTCAATAAAGAATATTGTAAATGATAGCAAAAAATTAAAAATAATACAATAAAATGTTATCGTTTAAAATGTAAAATCTTTGTTTTTTCCATTTTGTGATCAAATACTAAAACTGAACTAGTAGACTTGTTGGAGTTGATTGACATATTATTAAATAATGTAATTTAAAATATGTTAAATGATTTTTATACATTACTATTTTGTACACGTATATTGTTGTGTGACATCAAAAATAGACTCTTTCTTTAAACGCAAAAAATTCTTCATTTCTTAATATTTAAATAAAATACCCTTAATAATAAATATACTAGGTATGTTATTCATATATGATCATATATTATTCAGTTATAAATATGAAAAAGTTAGTCTAACTAAGTTAGTAATTAGTTACTTAATAGAAAATTTTTTGTCGTTAATTACACACACAATAAAATTTTGCCATTTTTTATCCCTTAAGTATAATAAGTAAAAATTAATTGTTAATTTTTTTAACATTAGATAGTTAAAATTTCTAATTTATTTAAAAAATAAAGAAGTTCTAATTAATATTGTAGATATAATATAATATTTTAATCAATTTAAAACGAATATGAAATATTATACACAATATTTTAACAATATCTTAGTATGAATTATCTTGTTTTTGAAAATTAACGCTATAAACTCATTTCTCCGCACTTAATTCTTTTCGTTTTGCCATTTTTCACTGTCCATAATTAATTATTCATCTATACATCGACTAATACTTATTCAATCACTATGAGAATAAACAACATAGCAATGATTGTAAAGTAATCAGATTTGAGAAAATGTTGTGTCATTGATGGGATGGCATTACAGATGACAAAAATGGTTGTTAGTCGATTACAAAAAAGTGGTAAATATATTTAAATTTTGTAACTTGCCAAAAGAATGACATAAATTTGTGCTAAAATCATTAAAGCAGAAGGTAGTCACTTTCATAAAATCAGCTAATGTAATTTTAGCTTCGATACGAAGCGGAGGAGGTATTAATTTTACTATGATGTGTTTTTTTTTTTTTTTTTATGTCTGTTGCCACTTTTTCTCAGCTCTCACTGGACCGATTTCTTTCAAAAATACGTCAAAAGATCACAAATCGTATCTAGTTGGAGACATTACTCTTAAAAATTGAAAAAAATTTCCTCGTTCCCCGCAAATGGGGGAAATATCCAAAAAAAATACAAATTTAAAAATCGCTAATTTTCGAAATTTTTTCACTTTTTTTTCTTAAAACTTCCATAACTTTTTGAAAAATCAACAAATCAACAAAAGTTTTTTTTATACTAAAACCTTAGATATTTCCCTTTCATTTGATATAATTTTTTTTGAAAATCTAACACTTATTCTGCTCACTGGGGGATTTAAAATAGTAACTTTTATACGAAAAATAACTTTTTGAACTTAATTTTTGAAAATGTTCCGGAATTACTGCGTTCTTTAAACATATATCAAATTAAAGCTTATTTTGTGTACTATAAAATAAAAAAAAAAATTTGTCCCGACGACCTATCTTCTATGCGCAAATGGCTACCATATTCAAAAATATGCTATTTTAACAAATTTTTTTTTTTTTTAATTAAACACTATCTACAGTTTTGCATCGAAGCGTTTTTTATGATAGTGATTTTAATCACTGTCAGATATCATCTATACTGGACCCAACTATGCCACGACCCCACTGTGCCACCACCCCACTGTGCTGTTTTTTATATTTTCTTATGTTTTTGTTTTATTTATTTTATTTCTGTAAAATACATAAATAATAATCAGAAAATGTTAAAACTATATTATTCCTATCGAATAAAGTAAATAAAATAAGTTTTTTTCATAAAAGAAATGAATAAACTAAAAGAAATTTTATTGTGATTATTCAAACTTTCTCTATACTGTAATACACATTTGAATTCATTTTTTAATTAAAAATTTGAGCTTCCGCTTGCAACTTAATTAAATAAATATTATAATAAATGATTTTCTGGCTAAAATATAAACTAATCTAACGCACAATATACAATTTTCAACATTTGATTATGATACTTTCATCAGCTAACAGCTCTTTTTAATAATGGCTGCAATAGAGGGTAATATAGGAGGCGCAGATTACCTGATTCCTAATGGACAGTTTGTGTTTTCTCATAAAATATTTAACAAAACCGATGATACAAGCTCTCAAAATTTTACACAAAATGAGGTGCCAAATTTCTCAAAACCATCTACTTCTTACATAAGTCAAACTCGTTCAGTAAGTCCAGATGCTTTTCCAGTCTCTGTGGATTACACTTGTTTTCAAATAAAGTAATACTACATAATTTCGTTAAATTTTTTGCTTCAAAAATACAATTAATTTTAATTAAAAGAATTAATGTTTTCATAATCATCTAATAATACCTAATCTAATATCAATAATTATTAGATGCTAATAAAAATTAAGAAGAATAAGTGTAATAAATTTGTATTATTTGAAATTATTGATGTTAGATCCAGAGTTTAATACTTATGTCAAACTCCAATGAATTAATCATCCTTTAAATGTTGATTTCAAATATACTATAGTTTTAGTACCTGAAAAAAATCAGATGATTAGAAAAACTAATTTTTAAGTTAGTAGCTGTTTTGTTTTTGATTTTCAGGTATTGTTAAATAACGCTACCTCAACTATAGGTTTCAGGATTTAATGTATTTATAAAATTTATTTGTACTACTGCCGAGACATTAAACCGCATAAAAATTTATCATAGAGATACACAGTACCGGAAAAAACCTTTTGTTTTAAAGAAAGTAATCTCCCAACAAAATCCTAATTAATATATATTGATAAGGATTAAGAAAAACAAATATCTATTTTAAATAGATATTTATAAGTACATCAATTAGGACGATTAAAATAAATTTTTTAAATGCATAGTCTTGAACTCCACTATTGAATTAATGGTTTCAAAATTATTACCGACAATATTTTTCAATTAGATAATGTCTTAGAAAGTGAAAATTGTATATATAAAATGTTGATATATTTATAAGAAATGGATTAAGAAAATATTTAATATCATAAATCAAAAAGTACTAGTTATTATAAAGCAAAAATAAAATTCTCAAAATTTTATTTTGCGATTTTTTAAGTAGTTCGTAATAACAATACCCTTGTGGAATCTTATAAAAGTTTATTTATTATAATTAGCTGTATATTTGTAGAAACTTGATATTGACCAGAAATTGTTGTAAAAAGTTTTATCAGGCACCATCAGAAAAAACCCTATCGCATTTATCTTGTGCAACGGTACAATTATTAAGAGAAATAAATGAACATCATAAGGGTTGCATCAATACACCAATTGAACAAAAAAAGGAGAGGTGTCCCAATCGTCAAATATCCGGGAATTTTGATGAATGCTTTGAATCTAGCAGCGCAGAAGATAGCAATGCCATTGATTATAGCTCATCTTGGTCGACCGACGAAGAAACAGAGGAAATTAATGATTGTGGTCCACTTTGTAAGAAAACCTCGTATGACATAATAAGTTCAGACTCAAAAGTGACTGAATTCGCCGAGAAGGAAGAAATTCCTGTATCCTTAGTAAGTGTAAAATATCAATTATATAATGCTATATATAAACTACCAAAAAAAAATTATTCTGGATTATATACTTGTTATATTGTTTTTTTGACTAATGCAATATATTATTGTACTAGGTTGGTCCTTGTGCAGCAGCTACCACTTCAAATGGTGCTCTAAACATGGGAATTAATTATACTGATGATAATATTAATAATAATAAAATGGATGATAATAATGATATTAACAACAATATAGTAATAACTAATAATAATTTACGTGTAATTGAACTATCTGATTTCGCCATAGAAAGTGATTCTACAGCTACAGAATCTGAAATGAGGTCCACTCAATCTGTTAAACGAAAATCAGTAAAAACTAAAAGAATAACGAAAAGGCAGAAAAAATTTTCATGAGCATTATACTGTATTACGTATGAAATATAATTAAAAATAGATAGTTTTGTCAAATTATAGGGAAAAGAGAGTTTTTTATTTCTCTAGATGGTACTTCATGCCTCCCTTAACAAGCCTGCATAATGTCAATACTTAAAATACTCTAAAAAAGAATTACGTAGGAAATAGTAATAAAACATAAATTGTACTTTGTACTTTTAACATGTTTTTGATTTTGATGATTACTTGAAAAAATAAATTCACAAGGAAAATTTTTTTTAATTCATTAAGTATTTATTAAATGCTTTATATTGACAAGTTTTTAAACGATATTCTTCTGAAATATTATCGAAAATTGTACCCTCTGGTCAGAGGGTTTCGGTTGAATTTTCATAAAAAGTATTATATCAAAAGAAAAGTATCTACCTTTAATATTGCCATATAAAATGTCGTATAAATTTATTTGCTTTAAAAGAAATTAACCTTCTTAGTTAAATTTGAAAAATTAAGGAAATTTTTTTTTACTTAAGATTAATTTCTTACTTTAACTAATTTGGATTTTTTTGATATATTATAGAGTCACATAGATTTAATAGAAGCGCGTGCACAGATAACAGACAAAATAAAACACAGTATAGTTGTCACAATAATTTATCAGCTTCTCATTGAAACTAAAACTGCTGTGAAATACTATAAAATCATCTATTTATCTTTTTACAGTTTAAGCATAATTTGAAATAATGTCTTCTAAATGATAAAGATAATCATTTATTGTTAAAAATAATGGAAATAGGAATATTTAATTACGATTAAATTTTATTTACTTTCAGAAAAGACTATATGGGGAAGTATTATTATTTTTATAGATTGCGGAAGCCAACTATTATCTGCATAATGTGATTATAGGTAAACTTCTCGGAGAAACGCGTGACCGGCTTTGTTAGTGAAAGTGAAATCTCTACGTCCATGTTGATGTTATGACCGTCTGGCCGGCACGAAGGGCATAATGTAGATATGTAGGTATGTTTAATGCGCTAACGGGGTCACCACACCTATTTTTTTTAAAAGATTCAATTAGAACAAAAAATGCGATCCTGCTAATTTTAAAATTAAACAGAAACTATATTATATTGAAAATCGTTGCTAAATTTAAATATACTATGTAACATAGAGAAAATATATAAATACAAAATTTTATGGGGAGCTCAAATCATAAAATAATGTAACAAATATCATATCATTGTTATGTCATTTATATCAAAACTGGTTTAAAACGTAATAATTTTATCCAAAATTTATAAAATTTCACAAGAAAAATCTTATAATTTTTATATTTAATCTTCTATACAAAGTATATGATGTAGAATAATATATCTTGTATCAATGACGGTAATTTTTAATTTTTTAAAAAATTGAGAAGTATAACTTAGTGTTTATAACCTTTCAAAAATAAACAATTGGTATCCACAAAAAACAAAAAACGAATTCCATTTGTGCACGTGCCCGACCTCTACACGGCCTAAAGAACAGTAAACCATATAATTTTTGACGTCTCAGGCTATACCAAAATGCACAAAATCATCTATATAATAATACGTTGCTATCATCTTGTAACTAATTACAACAAGTTGTCTGGTTGTGAGATAAGCTGTATGCAACTGGGCCAAAAAGAAATAAAAATACAGGAACACATTATGTGAGTAAAAAAGAAAGTGGAAGTGGTTCCTGAAATGCTGTCCGGTCTACCATGATTGTTATATAATATTATAGCCAATGAGTTAAAGATATTACATCAGGATGTTATGCCAGCTAGCCTCCCCCAATACGAATATAGGAGACATACCATCTTACAATTAATAAAACTGTAGGGTTTTCCAAGAAGTATACATTCTTAAAACTTTTATTTATAATTAATTAATATGTATAATTTAATATCTTTTAAAGATAAAATAAAATAAAAATAGAATATGGTAATTGTGACAGTATAAAATTTAGGGAAGAACATGCGCAATCATTTTAAATGGAGATTATCCATCATGATAATTTACAATAAATTTCTATATTATTTGTTGTAAATGCAATTATTAAAACTATAGAGAATGTATACGTGCATTATAATATTTTGTTTTATTTAGTACCTTGAACATTGTTCATAAACATTTGAGAATAATTTTTGATTTTTGTTATCGAATTAAAATGTTTAAAATATATTTGCAACCATTCTTTTCAAATTGATGAAGTTAGATAGTATATGTAGAGGTACATCAAATTGTACTATAAAATTTATATTTGATAAGCCGTAGACAAAATTCATTTTAGATTTTATCTTAGCAATAGAATTATAAACTATAATAACAAAATAATGTAAAAAGTACTACAAAGTTTAATTAAATTTTTATGGTATGAAACATGTTTTTAAGGAATTAAAAAATCATAACATTATGTTGTAATGTCATTTTAAATATTTTAAAAAATGAATGTTAAAATTTCAAATGGGAACCTTAAAATTTAAATGATCTAAATGTTGATCAATTACAAGAGATGTATGTATGTTTGTATTCTGATATAACTGATAAATAACTTAACTAGAAAAAGCATAGATGACAAAAAAACTGTTTCTAGGCCTTGCAGTGAAATTGGTCAAATTAATAATATGTTGCAGTGACATGAAAAAAAAAAATTATTTATCAGTAAGCTTATAAAAAATATTTTACATAAACCAATGGCCAATCCAGGAAGATGGCGCAAAAGGTACATGCCCCTCCTTTGACTAATAGTTCCAAAGAACAAAAAAGTGTTTAGTGACTCAAACATTTTTATGTTATGAAAATTTTGATCTGTGCTTAATAAAAGCTGTATATTTACCTCTTTCTTCTAATAAAAATTGGCTTTGTATTAATTATCATACAACTTTTAAAGTTACATTATGTGCACTACAGAGTGTTCAGTAAGTCAGGAAACGGGTATCTATTGTTCTCATTGTTACAAACAATGAGAACAATAGATACTCGTTTCCTGACTTACTGAACACCCTGTATATGTTCGCGAGCTTAAATATATATACATATATATATATGGGTTTTTTTCTAAAATCTAATATGTCAATTTTAAACATTTTCTGGGTTAGTAAAATTAAATATTAATTTAAAAGGAATCTAATACAAATCTACATATTTTCAAAGTTCAAAAACCCTACCCTCTCGATAAAGTTTTCTTAATAATTTGATACTGACAGAAAAAATTCAATTTTCTCCATTCAAATTATTAAAAAAATGGCCAAATCCTATTTTTGTGACATATCAGCTTTCTGATATAAACCTCAGAAATAATCATAAAGGATTCGTATTGATGTGGATTAAAAATATCTATGATGAATTTTGGTTGAATTTGTACTAATGAAGTTTTAAAGGAATGAAAAATGTGTTTATTCCTTAGATATTAAAAGTTTAGCTATCAACTTAGTATAAGGAGTTGATAAAGTGTTATACATTTTTTCGAAGATGTAAATTTTGTCTCGATGGTGGTGATAAAACGGAGGGGACAGCCTAGCCACCACCTTTCTAAGACAAAAAAAAATAAAAAAACTATAACTACCATTTCACCTAACATTACTTTCACAGGACTTTTCTTCGCACTACACCGCGCAGTGTGTTGTTTTTTCTTTTCGACACTTCGGTCGTTAACATCGTGCTATTCATGTTTAAATCGCCGTTTTTACAGTGATTTAGTCTGATTAGTTTTACAAAAACATTTTTTTTGTTTGTTCCGGTCAAGTTTTATTTAAACAGGTATGTATTATTCATACATGTATTCTTACTTAATTACATGTCTTAATCAGATCAGTTTCTCCTGAAATTATTTCCTTTCCATATTAGCTCGGGGGAAATTGATTTTAATTTTATTCATTTTAATTAAGATAATTTGATCAAACAATACGATAACTTAAAGCAAAAACAACAATTTTTTTACGATTATTTCAAATTTATTTCATTTATAAAATGTTGATTTTAATTAGTTGTTCATCTATCAATATTAGAACCCATCTTAGATTTAAAAATTTATTTCGTAAGTTATAAAGTAAATTAAATATATTGTAAGTTTTCATACTGTAAGTTTCAGTAGGGTTATAGAACCATACAATGGATATTAAAATACGCATCTTAGTATCCTCTTAAATACGACAGCAAATTTTTCTTAGGTCTTATATTGAATTAAGTAATCAGGAATAAACAAAATATATTTTTTCCGGAGAAACATTTTTCAAACAAATGAGATTTACGAGAAAGTTCTTGCGTTATCTTTAGTTCTTACGTCTATAATAGTTAAATTTTAATGGAAGCATTTTGATGAAATGTGAATTGTAAACAAAATGAAATATATTGATCTTTTAATAAGGATTTGAAAAATTGAATTCATCTTTATGAGGAATAAATTCAATTTCTAAGAGCTAAAATCAATAATATGAAGGATGTACTTTGATTAACATTCTTCTTCTTCTTCCTCGCCTTAATCCCAACTACTTGGGGTCGGCCAACCTTTTATTAAACTTCCACTTGACACGATCTACCATATCAGCTGTCTATGTATTTTGATTAACATTAAAGTCTTTAAAAAAACACAATATAGGTATTCACTAGGGTTTTTGAATTTCAGGAAGTTGTGAGTAGGTAATTCAAAAACAACATTTTAAGTTATTTTATAGAAAAAATAAATAGTTTGAACTAACAAGTTAAGCAAATTTGGATTATTATAAAAGTTAAAAATTTAATTTTGTCGAAAAAATATTAAATTTAGTTCATTTTGTTTTTTTTATATAATTATTTAATATAATTTTATAAATAAAATGACGATGAAATACAATTTTATATCTTATGCCAAATATTCGATTAATTGGTTATTAGATAATCATTTTGTTGTCCCCTGGCGTAAAATTGCAGATGTAATTTGGTAGAGGAGAATTTAAAATTTGTAAAATTATTGCGTGCGTAAACTGCTAGGCCCAAGTAGTCTAAGCACTTATACTTTCTGTGATTTTGTGCATTAAACCGGTTTCCGATTACGTCGCTGTTTTATAATATGTTATTACACTTATCTTATGCCACTGTTATGCACTTGATGGGAATAGCCTGCGAGTACTACTATAATTGTTTCACAATTGACTACATTATTACTAAAGTGATAACATTTTTAAGATCGATTATCTTGTTCATTCATTTGTGTGCAATTTTATTGTTTATGCATATTAGGTAAAAAATTGGAATACTTTAAATGACTTAGACAAAATAATATTATCTACAACTTTAGTTAATGACAATTTCAAATGTATGCACTCGTCAATTTTTTCAATTGGGCCCATAGGCATAAAGTAAGAGGTTTCTAAGTAAGAAATAAATATATTAGCCTTTTCAAAATTCAGAAATATCATGTGTATTGTTCTATAGTTTTTTAAGGAGAAATAAATTCAATTAATCTCCAATAAACCATTTTGCTGATCTCCATGCACAAATTTGAGCCTATATGTATGAATTCGTTATGTGATACTTGAATTATACTTTTACTTGTATAAATATTACTATATTAACATAACTTAAAATAAATTATAAGAGTAATCTAATTCTTTAGATGACTAATATTCTTTCATAATATAAAATGAAATGATACATACTTTTAGGAATCAAAGTTCTGTTATAATTATTAATTATCAATTAATAGTTCAAGTCATCATCTTAGATCGAAACCTATCTTAACATTCTTCTTTGTGTATTATAAATAAATAAGAAAAATTAACTAATTAAAGTCATTCTTCATATGAATAAAAATACGTTACTTGTCATAGCACTCTTTTTATCTTTGATAAAAGTGCCACCTCTTTTTTTCCTCATTAATAGAAATCCGAGCTTAAAAAATGATTATTTTTCATAATAATACATATTTTCTTGGGTCTTAAGGAAGAATTTTATTTATAATATATTATTTTTTATAGTACGTATTTTAAGTCAGAACCCTTAAATTATTAATTTTCATAACTATTCCAATGACTTACATTTAAATACTACAAGAGAATGATAGATTCAACGAGTTATTAAAGGGTAATAATTTATTATTAAAGAAGTGTTATGTTTATTTGTTTCTAGGAACCAAATCATCATTAGTAAGCTAAAAGTACTGTAATGGTTAGCTTAAAGTTACTTTCTCTTTTAAGTGACTCATAACTAAATCTATTATTCTCTTCTCTAATTAATCATATAATGGAATTTTTTTATAAGTCTAGAGTTATACAAGTAGTATACTAATACAAACTGAATGGTGATCTGGAGTAAATATTTGGTACTAATATTATGGCAAATATCTAAATATTTATATTAATGCTATTTACATGCATATGTTTTGAAATATAAGTAACCCACACTTTCTAATCACTCATATTAATAAAATATTAGCCAAGATATACAATAACGTTTTTATTTGCATCCTCTTTCTAATTCATCTATTTATAATTAAGTAGTTAGATATAAAAAGCATAATATACAATTTAGTTAGTTGGGGAGCCGTTTTCTATCAATTCAATTCAAATTCAGTATAATTAATAAAATTGTCATCATTAAGTGCCATGGAGTAATATAAAGTAATATACAATGTATATTATACCACTAAAATGATAATTAATTTGATAAAACGCATATGCAGAATTTAAACCAATAAAGGGATCATCAAGTTTTACTGTCTATAATTTTTCTCAAATGTCAAAATTACACATAAATTATACCTATACCTAAAAAATTTTTGTTTTTTTTTTTGAATATTATTTTGTAAAATTTACTGCCATATCTAACTGGCATTTTTTAATGAAAGCTGAAGTTATACGATTCACTAAGATCAGCGTATTACTAATAGGAACATGTAACTTTAAAGTTTAACGTTCATAATTTATTATAGATTATACAATAGAATGTTTAGGATGTTATATATCATACAGTATACAGTGCAAGATGAGAATACAATTTTTTTTGGTCAGTTTACCATGGTATATTATAATCTACCCTAAAAGCTATTGTTTATTTGCTGTAACAAACAAACATGCTGACTGTACTTTTCTTTTTTATCTTTGACTCTGAGTAATACTGCGTTTGCTTTGCTATCGCCAGAGCCACCATCGTTTGTTATTAACAACACCATTAAAAAGTTTTTTAGAACTAAAAATTCATTCAGTATTTACATTTAACATTTACATTCAGTTACAATTGTAGTTAGTTTAAATATGATTCAGTGATTACAATAATTACAGTAATTTATATTCGGCACTTTGTGATTATCGCTTGGAATGCATTGAATGGACCGACATGCCTGCCTATAGCCTTCTTGTCACGTTCTAACGTCCTTACCTCTGATATTCCTCCAATTATATGGCAACCAGAATGTCAGTAATGTAATTTTCTATCAACGTCCAGTTATCCATTCTCCGCAGCATTGTCCGGATGCTGACTTACTTATTGTACATATTGTAGGGCAACCATATTGTATAGAGTATGCCACCAGGTTATGACATTTTCAATAATATTTTATTCAGCAAATATTTTGGGTTCCTTTTNATGGAGTTCCAAGAATTTTAATACATAAAGGGGTTCGTAAAGCATATGAATATAGCTAATTTTAGTATATGTTTATGATGCAGACTCCGCATAAAGTTTAAAGTTTCGATAAAATATGAAAAATAGCAATTTTTTACATTTCTAGACTAAAGTTTTAATTTTACAGAAAATATTGCAATAACTAACACTATAGAAATTTCATTGAAAAATTTTTCTATAGTTTAGTAGTTTTTGAAATATTGAAGAAAATAATCTATGTATTGTCCAATATTATAAAAAAACATGATTCTATTAAAAAAAAAATAAAATATATACAGAATGGTCACACATGTTCTGAAAAATCCTATAATTTTTGATCAGTGCTTCTTCCAGGCAACAGTGATAATATAAGCTATAATATTTTTTAAGTTTAAACATTTTAAGATAAGTGTAGTTTTTAGTTTATGAAAGTTTAAATTTATGCATTTATTTTGAACCGATTGCGTTCTCTTTATTGTTTTTTATTACAAATATAGACGGTTGATAACGTTAATTAATCATGTAAAGTAAACGTAAAGTAAATACAAAACATTAATAAGAAATTTTGCTACCCAATTTTTGTTTATAATCTACTCTACCAAATGACATCTTGAAATTTTTTAATACTAAATTTTTAAACTTTTAAAAATTTAAATATCATATTAATACTTTAAATAAATTAAAAAAAGATTATAAACTGAATAAGTCAGCTGTGCCTGAGATCAAAAGTATCTGTTCTTCTTAAAATTTTAAAAGCCAACGTACATTTTAAGGATCTTAAGTAGCCTGCATGTTTAAAGTAACTGCGCACACTAGTACATATAGTGCATATATTTATTATGACAAATAAAGTATCATAATGCACTAGTTTTAAGATCCCAAGTGGTACAACAGGGATATTTACCTGAAATCATCAAATAGAATATTCTTACCTCTAAATGGTATAATATACTATTTATTGCTAAGAGATTTAATAAAAAATCATAATATTGTTTATCATAAAATCTCTTAACAATATAGCAATAACTCAAATTACCAAGTGCTGATTTTGTAAAGGTTGATTGACACTATACGAAATGTCAACATCACGGAACGGCATATTTATCGAAAACTATATTTTGACGTATCGATGTTGGTCCGTTCTTGTTCATTCAGATAGTATGAATATGTGAACGGAACGTCTCGGTCAAAAATATACATTACAATTATAAATTCTACATGAATCATTATTATATTTTCATTATCATTACTATTATATTTTCGTTATTTTAATATGGATGAAGAAATTTTAATAGAAAAAGTTTGTCATTGTGATGAACTCTATAATATAGTTCTAAAATGATTTTCATTATTCCTAATGTTTTCTTATTAAATTTTAATATGATGAAGTATCTACTTAACTATTATATTAAAAATAATTGATTTTATAATTTTGAATTTAAAATCACCGGACAACTGCAATAGTATAGATTACAATTGACATTGTTTCATTGACGTTTCTAATTGTTGACGTTTAATGTGAAAAAACAACAAATTAGTCGTGACGTGACGTTTCATATAGAGTGAATAGACCTCAACAGTGAGCTTCATCCCAAATTTCTGCTTGTTCTTCTAAGTCGTACACCGATAGTTCTGAAAACGTAACGTATTCTGGCTGATGAAGAGAAAAGCCAAACAGTGATTTATTATGTAAATGTAACAAACCATAAATTATATTTAATGATAAAGATTTAGCCTTCTTTAGTGTGTGATTTTGTGAAAAGTCCTATACAAAAATTTCTTCAATAGCCGCGTACTGGTCATTTGGATTAGAAGGGTTGCAATAAATACATACTATAACTTACAGTTAGCTTAACTGACGTTATATATCTTTTGAGGCAGTTTAAATAATTATACTACATACTTTCACCTTCTAAAAGATCTAGTACAATTGCAAACAGTGTCAACACTTAGGGTAGAAGTGCTGATATTATACATGTAGCATATTATTCAGTATTTATTTCACGTTTTTTCTCAATAGGTTATAGATATATATGAAGAGTATAAGTTGAGCAGCTCATCACAGTAGTAATTATATGTCTCAAAATCCATATTTGAATGAAATTACCTAATTAAAGTTATGTTTGGTTGCAACTTTTTCAACAGTTCGTAGAATGCCTTCAGTCTAAAACACATATTTTGCATAACCTTCTGTATGAACAGCCGATCTACATGTAGAAAGACTATGTTTGTGTATTTTAAATGAGAACAATCTCCAAAATATTTCAGAAGTACTGACATATCTAGTTTTCATAAATATTCCACATCTTTTAAAATCAGCTAATTGTAATATTAACAAATACCTACGTGTTGTTTTGAGACATTATCAGATTTTAATTTCTTGTTCTTAAATTATTTCTTTTTCGCTACAATTCATTTGAAAAAGAGGTAAATAATTTTCTGAATAAATAGCATCAATTTCATTGAAACACTATAATAATTTTATTACGTTTAGAAATTTATATTATTATTTATATGTCTCAAGTTTTAAAATGTGATGGTCAAGAATTATATCAAAATGGATAAATCTATAATTATTTATCGTTACTATCACAATTCAATTAATCATATAAATTTTGATTTTTTATGTCGTAATGGTAATTACATTCAATAGCCATAGCTAAGTATACGGAGTATTTATGCCAATGTCAGAAAGTTTGTGTTTTTACTGTTTTCTTTCTCTATTCTTAGCTGTCATTTTTTCTCATTTGGTCTCTATTTTTATCAACATCAACCATACAGCCTGTACATTCTTTTTGGTTTTTTTAATTAAAAATTTCTTATTTTCGTCGTATTTAATAAGTATTAATTCATTTTGATATGCTATGTCGTGTAATGAATTGCCAAACTCAATTCGCTTTGTATTCAAATTGTCATTTGTACTATTAATACTTTTTGAGAGTGATTGCTATACCTCATAGAGTATGTTTACCATTTTATAGTGATTTACTACTAATTATTTGGTGTTTAAAATATTCAACAAAACTTTTTTCAACGAGTGATAACATTTTATAGAATAAAAAATGAATAGTTAAAAGAATAAAAAAAATGTAATTTCAATGATATTCACTTATAATTTTTCAATTAAAGCTAATATTGTCTTTATTATTCAAAATATAATTTATAAAAAATCTTACATTCTTGATTTTATTGTAATGTTAAAATTAAAGAGTATAATTGTAAAAAATACTCATGATTTACTATATTTTAAACTTATTTGTAAAAATAGAATAGAATAGAATTTTCTATTAGTTTTATCATCTAATATAATATTTTAATATTTGTAGTTTATCCAGCAACATGATTGATCAACTTCAATGTATTGCTTGACATACAATTTTTTCTGTAATTTCATTTGGTAATAAAAGGAAATTGTGCTATCATTCCAATGACTGATCACAAGAACTTTAGAAGTCAAGTATGGATTGGTGGCGTTGGTGTGGGTGGTGACGTGAGTGAAGTAGAAAACTTTTACAATGGTGCTACAGTTTTTGTTACTGGTGGAACAGGCTTCGTTGGCAAAGCACTTGTTGAAAAACTTTTGAGGTCATGCCAAGGGTTAAATACCATCTATTTGCTAGTTCGACCAAAAAGAGGCAAAGAAGTTCAATGTCGTTTCGAGGAGTTATTAAAAAATCCGGTAAATATTTATATAAATATCATTTGGAAAACTTAAAATTTTTTGTTTGTGTATCAATTAATAAGATTTTATTTATTTAAACTTGTATTGATAATATTATAATGAATGTAATTAGTAAAATTGAATAAAATCTTAGATGGGATTAAGATACTGCAAAGACTAGGGTCTAAAATTTAAATGAAGTTCTACTATCTAGACATCGGTTAAGTTTTATTTTTATACTTTAAATAAAAAATCGAAGCCCTGTCAGCTATATTTGTTCTTAATCCTCTTAACCAAGACTTGATATTATTATTAAATTACTATTTTTTTAATATTGAAAATTAAATACTAATACTTTAAAAATTAAAATAGTATAAAGTTTATAATTGAATTATTTATTTATTTATTTTTATTATAGACAGTGGTTAATTAATACAGTTTCTTTTCTAAAATAACAGAGTAGTTTTTTTAATTTTTTAGTTTTAGTTGGTATAGAGGTTTGTTTGGCCGACCTCAAGTAGTTGGGAATAGGACGAGAAAAAAAAATAGTTGTAATTGAGGTAGGCAAGAACTACCCATACATTCACACTTGTAGGTCCATTGCGCGCACCTCCTACGGAATTTTATTAATTTGGTTTCTTCATGTAAGAGTTTCCACCGAAGTATTGTTGCTATTGTTGAAAAACTAATACTATATATATAGAGTGTCCTATTGTGCTACATCTATAGAATGTTTAGTAAGTAGGAAACAAGTCAATTGTTACAAACAATGAGAATAATATAAACCTGTTTCCTTACTTACTGAACACGCTGTATATTCAAAGAGTCCTGACTCTGGCGAATCTTTGGATTTTAGGTTTTTGATATCTACTATTTCTGGAAAAGATTTTTCTAAATGTTTAAATCTTAATGTGTCCAGAGTATCGCATTCACACATAATGTGGAATGAATCTTCCTCTTTGTTTCACAAAGTTTTTTTAATTAGCACTTAAAATAAATTAAAAATCAAAATATAATATCAGCGAATAGTAAACAAAAAAGAAATAACTATATAATTTGCATGCAAATTTTATATATAGCTCAGTATAATGAAATTGAATTAAAAAGTAATTATGATACAGAAATTCTATAGGAATTAGATAAATACAAAATATAATTTTTTCAAACGTATTGCTTCTATAAAAAAATATTTACATAATATAATTATGGAAGATTTCATTATTTGAAATCCAAATTATCCAAATAATTTCATCACTAGCACAAATTTTTCTTGTAATATATTTAAACAGTAACTGGTTCATAATTATATATAGCTATCCAATTTTTTACAAGTAATTTCATAATTATGTGAGTCTTTAATGAAGTCAATACATATATTTTCAATGTTTATTAACGTAATGAAATATTTTGAATGATCTTCTAATCTTGTTCCTTATTGTTAGCTGTAATGATAATTAAAAATTGTATTGTATAATACATTTACAATTTCCTTATACAGTAAAAAAATTTAAAAATATAAATACAAGTAGTAAGCAATAATTTCAATAAATTTATTCGGTTAAATAAATGAAAAAAAAGAACAATACTTCGAAAAATCGTATAGAAGTTACAAAATAAGCTTATACTTTTAAGTTAGTTGGACTTAAAAAAATCCTATTGTAACTATGTAATTTTGTAATTTATCGAATATAAATTAATATTATATATTATTAAGATAGTTTAAGCTGTATAAAATAACTAATTAATTAAAATATTAGTAGTATAGTTAGTGAAATTGATGAAAAATTGTTTCCATTACTTGCTCTTCAAGAAATTAGTATTTTTTTTATACTCTTGCACAACCAACCAAGCGTATACATATTAGTCACTATAGTACCGTGGCGCATGTTGTTTGCTAACGATATAGTGTTAATATGGAGAAAATATGGAGGAAATTAATCAAAAGCTAGAGGTGTGGAGATCAGCTCTTCAAGAAAAGGGTTTAAGAATAAGTAGAAGTAAAATAGAGTATTTAGAGTACAAGTTTGACAAGGAGAAAACGAGGTAGGTGAAATGAGGATGTCAGTGATAATAGGCGTGGATGTGATTGGAAAGATGGAAAGTTTTAAGTATTTAGAGTCAGTTGTATAAAAGAGTGGTGATATGGACGAGGATGTAAGACACAGAATTAAGTGCGGGTGGTTGAAGTGGAGAGAAGCGTCTGACGTCTTATGCGATAAAAGAATTCCAATGAGGCTGAAAGGTAAATTCTATTAAACTGTAGTGAGGCCAGTTATAATGTTCAGAGTGTTGGGCGGTTGATAAGAAAGTAAAGTAGAGAATGAGTGTAGCAGAGATGATAATGCTTAGATGGATGAGTGGAGTGACTAGAGAAAATAGGATAAGGAACGAGCATATAAATGTAGATGTATAGTATATAGATGTAGCATCAATCGTGGATAAGATGAGAGAAAATATATTTAGATGGTTTAGTCATGTTATGAGAAGAAGTAGAGGAAGACAAAAAAAGAGATGGAGAGATGTTATTGAATGCGATATGAGGACAGCTGATGTGAGCGTAGATGATGTGGGTGATCGTGTCAAGTGGAAATTTACGATAACGATGGCCGACCCTAAGTAGTTGGGATTAGAGCGAGGAAGAAGAAGAAGAGTTAATCTTCTTAAAATTATTTACATAAATACACACAATATAAAGTATAACTTAAGGAATTTCTTTAATGAAAACAATTAAGCATGTTCGATCTTAATATATAAATTATGTATTGCTGTTTTTACTATTACAGAAAAATTGTTTTTTCTTGATTTATGTTCGTTTTATTCTCTATTTTTTAAGAAAGTAATCTATCTCCTATAGTAACTTAAAATGAATATAAAATTAATGTAGGTGGTTCGGTATGAGCATGAAGATGATTGAGTTGCTATGTGTTTATTAAATAATATAATATATATAATTTTCTCTCGGGGTATGAGTTCGAGGTTTTGGCAAGATGATGTAAAATATAAAAAAACAAAGTGATACCTGAAAATTGATTAAAATAAAAATAATTTGAAATAGAAATTATTGTGATTAATTATCACACTTTAAGTATCAATGACGTCATTCGTTCCAAACATCTATGTTTGTATTGACTGTGAGTCGTGTTAATAAAAATTTCGAGTAGTATAGAAGCCACAGGTGGGTTCTCTATCTCCGCAACATTTTTTTTAATTGTATTTACCTCACAGCTAATCCACTCAAAGATTGACTAGGCTGGTTAACTTTGTACACAAGCTTTCGATTTTATTTATTTAAACAATATTTTATTCTAGTAATCACTTAATATAATGTACTCATTATATACCTTATATGCTTTCATAATGTTTGAAATAAATATACTTATGTTTTTTTTTTGTGGTGTATAATATTTACTACCTATCAGTCGAATGAAAAAGTGAAACTAAAATTTTTTTCAGGTTCTAAAAGTGATGTTTTTTGTTGAATATTTACAGTATATAATATTTTATATTATATTATAATATGATATAAAAATACCAGCATAAAATATTCATATAAATACAAAAGTATAATAAGGTAAATTAATTATTTAGGATATTAAATATTCTAAATTTTATATCTATTAATTTTATAGATATAAAATGATTTTTTAACGATGGCTACTAAATTTCTTTTAAAATAATAATTATGACAAGAAAATTATTTTTGATATTTTTTAGAACTCTTTTAGAAATGTATATACAATAATATTAAATAATAAAGTACTAAGACGTAGACTTTTAATATATAGTAAATAAATGAATGTATATTACGTTATAATAAATTTAACGTAAGCTGACCCCTCCGCTATATAAACTATACATCACATATATAACTATACAATAAGTCTAAAGGTTAACGCGGAACTGAAGACATAAATATACTGAATATCCCACTACGTTCTAAAATTTCTACACAATTTTCTTATGGCTAATTGGCGGAACGTCGTGGGACACCTTTAAATGTAAATATTTTAAATAATACAACATTACATGAAAGATCTAACACATTCAAGATTCATTAAATTAAATTGAAATCCAAATTATTATAATATAACAATTTAGGTTATCATATTATGTTGTAATAACTGTGCTTATTACCAATAATATCCTCATTCTCCATTTTTATTGCCAGTATTAAAGAAGTATGACTGTTCGATAAGCTGATAAATTTGATATAAAACACAAACTATTATTAAGTAAAAAAAAAAAAACTAGGATAATTAATACAGTCGATAATCATTACGAAAACAACTGTAATGACAAACTTAAAAGGTACGCCATCTATTCTTAGGTATTTAGGTTGAAATGTTGTTACTTAACATTTTTTAAATAATCGCTACATATTCTAACTGACAAAGTTTTAAAAGAATAATGCCTTGTAAAATTTTGTAGACTATTGGCTATTTTATCTTAAATATATTACAATGTAATATAACTTTTAACATAAATATGCAACATGGAAATGTATTTATTCATAAATATGATTAATCACTACTAACAATATATTTAAAAATGAAATCCATCGATTCATCAACAAATTCTAAATAATAATTAGTTAAGCTCAAGTTAAAATATTTCTGAAAATTTTTTATAAAAATTTATTTATTTATTTATTTATTCAACGGAATTGACCCTTATTATACAGGGTGATTTTTTTATCATAACCCACTCAATTACTTGCAGAATAATAATAATTTAAACATTTTTTTTTTTCATTATCTTTAGTTACACATTATTCTTGAATTTTTAACTATGTAATACTTTTTAAGTTCATCCCTTATGCCTTGGAAGGGGGTCAACTTTGTTTTTTTAAATGGTAACACATATTTTTAATTTAATAAAATGTTTGAGTTTTTAATTTAATAGTAAATGGCATTTGAATTTTTAATATAACTTAATTCGTTTATTAGATATAATCATTTAAAGTTTCAAATTTTTGAATTAATATACAGGTATAATACACAAGGGATTACAAATATAGG